CGGACGGACGCGACGACGAGCCTAAACCCGCAGGAGCGTCAACCCAAGGTTCAGTTTCAAAAGAGACGGTTCTTGCAATAGAAGCAAAGCGTGCCACGCCAATCGTGAAAATTCCTTCAGATGATTTAGAACCGGGAACCGCGTTATTTCTTGTAGACACCGGCGCGGAAATAAATTTAATCAAATTAAATCTTTTGAGAGCCGACTTACCCATCGCGACTCACGAGGCGACGATTATCTCAGGCATAACGCCGCAAAAAGATCGTACAATCGGCACAACGACCCTGCACGTGCAAGGGCAGCCTGTTCGCTTCCACGTAGTTCGGTCCGATTTTCCCTTGATAACCGATGGAATATTGGGACAAGAGTATCTTCAACAGGAAGAGGCCGCGATATCGTTCGCGCATAATACACTCGTGACGCGTACCGAACCGATTAAGCCATTTCGTTTTATCAACTACAATACGTTAAACCATGCTGAACGTAGAGATTTGAAACCGCGCACTTACGTCATCAAAGCGCGCAGTAGGCAATCGATCGGTATTGACGTTGTTAATAATAATTTGCGAGAGGGCTATTTACCCCTGCTGGACACAGTGGACGGCTTGTATGTCGGCAGAGCCGCAGTGGCGGTAAACGACCAGGGGGTATGCCACGTCCTCGCGATTAACACCCTAGAGTGCGATTTAGAATTAGAGGTTCCGCCACAAGAACTTATTCCCTTCGATTATCATAACTTTCCGGAAGAGTCAGACGACCCGGATACCGATCGAGAAAATCCGGTAACAACTGATCGAGTTACCGAGGTCCTCAATAAGTTGCGTTTAGAACACTTAAATTCTGAAGAACGTGATCACGTGTGCGACCTAGTGGAAGAATTTCCGGAAAGATTCCACCTTCCGACGGATAGGCTAAAGGCAACTACCTTTATTAAACATAGTATTCCAACGGTTGACGAGGTGCCAATAAATACCAGGCAATATAGATTTCCTCCCGTCCATAAGGATGAGATAGAGAGGCAGATTCTAACCAAGTTAGCTAGCGGGATAATTGTTCCGTCGAATTCGCCATATAATTCTCCCCTGTGGATTGTTCCGAAGAAACCTGATTCTAAGGGCAATCCCAGGTGGAGAATGGTGATCGACTTCCGGAAATTGAATGAGAAGACCGTAGGCGACGCGTATCCACTACCGAACATGACTGAGATTCTCGATTTAATTGGAAACGCGCAATACTTTTCTGTTTTCGATCTCGCGAGCGGGTTTCAACAAATAGAGACGGACCCAAAAGACCGTCACAAGACCGCGTTTAGCACACCTACGGGACATTATGAGTACGTTAGAATGCCCGAGGGATTGAAGAACGCGCCAGCAACCTTTCAACGATTAATGAATCAATTGCTTCGCGGTTTGCAAGGCATAGAACTATTTGTATACTTAGACGATATAGTCATCTTCGCGAAAACGTTGGAGGAACACGGAAAGAAGGTCCGACGCCTGTTTACGCGCCTGGCCGACGCCGGTTTAACCCTTCAACCAGATAAATGCGAATTCTTGCGAACTGAGGTCGCGTATCTCGGACACGTGATCGGTAGAAACGGAGTCCGACCGGATCCAAAGAAAATATCCGCTGTTAAGAACTTTCCGCGACCCAGAAACGCCAAGAACATTCGTCAATTTCTAGGCCTAGCGGGATACTACCGCCGATTCATTAAAGATTTTGCTGCTAAATCAAAACCGCTTTCTGATCTGCTAAAGAAAAATGTACCCTTTGTTTGGGGAAAAGAACAGCGAATAGCTTTTATCGCGTTAAGAAAAGCACTCTGTAGCGCACCGATCTTGCAATACCCCGATTTTCAGAAGCCGTTCACGCTCACTACGGATGCGTCGGACTTCGCCATCGGGGCGGTACTTAGTCAAGAGATCGACGGACACGATCTACCCGTCGCATACCTTTCGCGTACGCTCACAAAACCAGAGCGAAATTATTTCACTACCGAAAAAGAGTGTTTAGCGATTTTATACGCCGTGTTGCATTTTCGACCTTATCTTTACGGGCGTAAATTCAAGCTAGTTAGCGATCATGAGCCTTTAAGATGGATCAATTCGATCAAGGATCCAGGGCAACGTTTAGTCCGTTGGCGCCTAAAGCTACGCGATTACGAATACGAATTCGTACATAAACCCGGTAAATTAAATACCAACGCGGACGCGCTTTCGAGAAATCCGGTTAATGAAGCGGAGCTGAATGAATCAGACGCTTTCACGTTATCTTCAAGTTCGGAAACCGAGCGGGAAAAGGAAGAACCGTCTTCCGTGGTTAAATTAATCCATCGATTTTTAACGACTACCGTGCAAGTTAAGGAAGCGCGACGAAGGTCAGGTTACGCGAACCTATTGCCGATATCGGAGTCTCCGCGGTCCTCTGACTCTGAAACACCGGCAGTCGTCGTTCGTAGGGGGCGAGGTAGGCCTCCTGGCACGAAAAATAAACCTAAACCAACACCTATTATAGACACTGAAGGAATAGCTACTCGTACACGTTTAAGGTCCGCAAAACAATCAGTTTCGTTAACTTCACCTGACATTTCCAACCCTACTATCATAGTAACGTCCAATACTCCGACAGACACTGACGTTACCTCTGATAATCCGACAGACATAGACACCGACTCTGACGCGGGAACACCGATCTATTTGCGTAGGCGTAGCGTGTTGCCGGGCCTGGGGCTCAGTTCGCGTCAGCGAATTACGGGAGTGTCCCGGACTCCAGCACCCGACAGCGCTACCTCCGATTCAGATCAGGATTGTTTTAAAACACCGACCACAAGTGAATCGAAAACGCACTTTGAAGAACCACCGAACGAAAACGCGGCAGATAAAGACCAAGTCGAAGCAGACGCTGACCATTTATACCATCCTGACGGATTATCGCACTTAACCAAAACCCTATCCGACACAGTAATCCATAGACCGCTACAACAATCACAATTACCAGCAAACCTACCATCAACTCCACCAATAGCTCTATCCACACCTAACAGAAACCGCCTCTCCGAAAAGGTTTCGGGACAGCAAGAGAATCAAATAATAATACCTGCAGATTTACCGATCGAGGGATCCACTAGCGATTCACTGGTAGACCTCGATTCGCCGTATCTAGACGCGCCGGAAGATAGAGCAATCGTAGGCGCGAAAACAGTACATTTTGCGTGTGAAAACTTAACGTACCATCGTGACAACTATGTTCACTTCATAAGTAAAGATTTATTGCTTACACCAATCAGTAAATTGCTTGTCGAAATAGGAATAATTGATTTTGAGACCTTTAAAGGCCCAGAGTTGAAAGTTGGAACGATTTTTGTTACAAAACGCGGTAGCGACCACGTGTTTTCAATCGTGGTTAAAGATAACATCAACGACGATTTACCATTAGCTAGACTAGAATCAATTTTGAGCAAATTAAAACAAAAGATGTCTGAATTAAAAATTGAGTCATTCAGAATCTCTAGGTTCGATGATTTGACCGAGAATTTGCCTCAGGATGTATTATCAAGCACCCTGCGGAAAATCTTCGGCCAATCAGGTATCAAGATTACGTTATGCTATGGTAGAGTCCAAGTACCACCCACGGAGATTCGTTCGGATATCATCGCGGAATTACATAATAGTTTAGTGGGTGGACATAAAGGGGTAACAAAGACGTACCAACGAATTCGAGAACGTTTCTACTGGCCAAACATGCGACAACAGATTGAAGCTTACATACAGAATTGTCACAGTTGTCAGACGCGAAAAATATCGAGAAAACGTACGCGCGAACCGATGATCATAACGGATACACCGGTTGAACCATTCGCGAAAGTCTCGTTAGACACAGTGGGTCCATTCCCGAGAACACCTGACGGGAATAAACATATACTGACTGTTCAAGATAATTTAACGAAATTCTGCATAGCTGTTCCGGTACCTAATATCCGAGCCGAAACAATAGCCCACGCGCTAGTGACGAACCTTATCCTGCAATTCGGTGCCCCAAAGGTCATATTATCTGACCGAGGCACGAGTTTCCTAAACCGAGTCATATCCGCTGTAGCTAAGATGTTTGGTATACATCACCTTACCACATCTGGCTACAGACCTCAAACAAACGGTTCGTTAGAGCGTAGCCACGCAGTACTGGTGGACTACATTACTCATTATTTAGGAGATTTCGATGACTGGGATAGATTAGTGCCGTTTGCAATGTTCGCTTATAATACCTCGGTACACGAAGGTACCAAGTTCACACCGTTTGAACTAGTGTATGGAAAACGCGCGCGCGCACCTACCGCGTTTCCTGCGAGCGACGACCTGCCTACCTACGAAGGATATGTTCGCGATTTAAACGATCGCCTGCACGAGATGCAAGGCATCGCGGGACAGAATCTCGTAAAAGCTAAAAAGCGTTCAAAAACCTATTACGACGCTACAGCTCGTCCGTTTAAGGGTCGCGTGGGGGACGTGGCATATGTCCTGGTTGAGCCGCGCAAGGGCAAGTTCGGCAAAAGATACCATGGACCTTATGAAATAATTGAATTTACTCCTAATAAAAACGTCGTGTTGAAGGATGAAATTGGAAACGTCTTCAGCAAACACGTTGACAAAGTAAAGTTCTGGAAACCTAGAAATGTCTGATCACTGCACAGTTGGCCGTCTACTCGTAAAATTCGAATTGATCGATGAAGGGGCAACATAGCTCCAGGGAGGGCCGGCTGGCGCAGTGCATTCTATCTGAAATAAACAATTTTTTTCAGGAGCAGTCCGAGCGTTAACATCCGTATTCAAATCAAATCTAGCGTGCGATAACTTGATTTTTACACTGTATTTAAACAATCTAGGAAACAACCATTCGTCATGGCGTCGACGTCGTCGAGCACCTACCGTGACACCAGGCAGGAGAATCGGGGGCGACGAGTTTTCGTTACCCGCATACCGCCCTTTGCGCAAAAAGGGAGCCTGATGACTCTGTTCCGCGCCTTCAGCCCTGACCAGGCCGTGGTCGTACGGAAGCCTACCGGGACTTACGGGTTCATCACCTTCCCAACAGCGGAGCTGGCCTTGAGAGCGGTCCAATGGGTGGAAGCGACCAAGCCAATCTTCCACAAGCGCAAGATTAAAGCAGCTATCGCCGATTCCTGGAATGAGGCGGCTTTGTTGAGACCACGCGGACGCCCCGACCCGTTTCCGGGGTGGGAGCCCCGCACGTCACCGCCACTGCCAGAAGAAGTCTTAGCGCGGATCGCCAGATTCCTAAACTTCGCCGACCGGGCCAGGATGGAGGGAGTATGCCGAGCCTGGAGGGCTGGAGCCCTGGCATCCTACGCATCGGAGCAGGTCCTTTCAACCACGGACCAACGCTGGCCGCAAGGATGGGCGCACCCGAGCGTGGATACCGAAGGTCTTCGTTGGGCGATCATGCGGTTGGGGCCCTACGTAAGCGAGCTGCGCCTCGACGATCGTTGGGTCGCCGAAAGGCTGCGGCCGCAGGTGTTGGGGATCGCGGCGCGCGGTTGTCCTAGGCTGACCACGATAGATTTGACCGGAGCGACGGTACGTCCGTCGGCGCTGCGCGATCTAGCGTCGAACGCGGAACGCCTACAAAGATTTTATTTGGGTAGGACCATCGGAAATGTTGAACCGGAATTGTCGGAGGTGTTCGTGGCTGCGCCGCATCTCGCGAGCTTCGTGGCCACAGGTTCCGGGTTCGCGGGGGCGGCGTTGTCGCGGATGGCCCCGACACTTCAGGAGGTAAGGCTTCGGGATTGCGCGTCGCTGTCCTCAGCATCGGTGGCCGCGTGTCTGGCGGCCCAGCGCTCGCTCTCGTCGGTTGAGCTTGTTCAGTGTCGTGCCCTGTCCTCTGCCGAACCATTGGACGCCCTCATGAATAACGAGGATCTCCATCGCTCAGTACAGGAACTTGTGGTAATCGATATCGACTTCGCCCCGATTATCGACGGAGCAGAGGAAGAAGAAATCCCGGACGCCGCTGACGTGCCGGATCCGGTCTTCATCGAGCTCCAGCTAGGGCCAGTGGAGGCAGCGCGCTCATTGCCGGAACTCTTCCGGCAACTTACGATCTTGAGAGTGTTGTTCTGTGGATGGGTAGACGTCACTTTCATCAGAAGTGTGGGAGAACACTTACACCAGTTGTTGGAGTTGGATATTTCGGGATGCTCCAATGTGAGGGGGCAATTCGCCCTAGAATCCTTGGGGAACCTCCCGAGATTGGAGAAGATCACGATTAATAACCTTCACCCCACCGTATCGGCGCCAGCTTTAGCCACGATAGCCACCCTGGAGGAAGTTAGAGCGCGTGATAGCCAAGGTATCACCGATGAAGACACGACGGCTATCGTACGTGGCTGTTCACGCCTAGTCGCCCTGGACGTGGAAGGATGCTTGGGGGTGACAAACCAGACCGTCATCGAGTCCACTGAAATCGTTAGGAGGCAGGGCAGGGCAACGGTGCTGAGCTTGTCGGTCGGCGGGACGAGTGTGGATCGTTGGGTGCGCGTTCGCCCCAGTTTGGTGCTCCGGGTATTATATGATCGGGTGTACCAACCGATCCTTCGTGATTTTTAGGCTAAGCATCACCGAGGGCGGCGATGGTTTTAAGGGGGGAGGATTTGTTACGTCCCGGCGGAAAATTTGAAATTTATCCGCCTTGCGTCCCTTATCAAGCCCTTTTGGGTTACGAGAATTTCTCATGTGAGGGGCGTATGGGCGGGTGTTTCGGTTTTCCGCCAACCTTTTCATTCCTCCTCGACCTTGTACATTCTTGTCAAGCCTTTCGAGGTTACGAGAATTTCTCATGCAGGGATGTACAGGGAAGAGTTGAGTTTAATTCCTTTCTATTTTTGACTTCCTCTATCGCTTTCTCTTCTTTACCTGCTCTACCCTGGAACCGTGTATCTCGTCAAGCTCTTTCGAGGGTTACGAGAATTCCTCATGCGAGGTACACGCGAAAGGGTCGTTTCTATTTTCTACTTTTCAATAGTTTACGTGACCCTCCTTGAAACTATCGTCGCCAGCCATTGTAATAAGAAGTTAATACGCACAAAAACTCGGGTTAGCTCGAGTGAGAGAGAGAGAGAGCCGTAGCAATAACACCAGCGCTACGCAGTTAGCCAGTGCTTCGCATTTCGGGAATTTCCCTTGGTAACTGCGTAGAAACGGGAAAATCGTAATAACTCTTTTGTTAAAAACCTCTTGCTCACTCTGTTGCACAAAGCGTCAGCCGGTCCAACAAGGATCATCGCTACCTGATTGTAATAATAGTATGAGAGAGTGGATGGATGAAACAAATTTAAGCAATGAAAGTAAGAATTGAGAACCCTTACGAAAGCGAACGTCGCAAACGTTCGACCGCCGTTCGAAAATCAAGGGTCGTTCGAAGCAATAAACGCTATTGTATCGGAATTCTAAGAACTGCCTAGCGATAACGGCAAATTTTGAACAAAGGAACGTTCTCGAGGAAACGTTCGCCAGATCTAGAATTGTTTAAAATTTATAAAATGCGAAATACCGAATATATCGAGGCGATAGTTTTAATGCGCGATAGATTGCATAATACGCCACGGCGTTACAACCACCGTAAGCGCATCATCCGCTGTTAAACATATAAAATCATACTGTTTTATTGCAAATCGGGATGAATAATTCAATCACGATATACGAACGACGGTTTCCTATCAAACCCGATATTTCAATTTTAATTTATATTTCAATATCAAATCTCAAATTGCACACCAATTAAACTAATAGTTACATCTCGAATAAATGCCGTTAATTAATTATATGTATAACGAGAAATACTGCGTAGTTTCTGAAAACCGTTGAAACTATCATGGCGACGAATGAGAAAAGGAAGGAACACCAAAGAAAGGGGATGAAAGATCTTCGTCTAGCTCGCGCGTCTTAGCCAATCACCGGGCACGCGACACTTCCGAAAACGGGCTACGATTCGCCAAACCGTCCCCTCCAAGGACGATGTTCGCGCGACGGGCCCTTCGGCCGTCGATCGCGCACGAAATTTGTCACTCTTGATCGATCAATCGTAAGTACGTGATCGGGAGCCCGTGTGTCCGAGTTATTCGGAAATTCGCGATATTTTCTCTGCGGTAAAGTCCTCCGCGTAGCGAGGCAGAGTGCCGTGCGAGTTAAAATAATCGGTATTCTGAATAAGGACTCACAGACGCGCACGTAAAATCTTCCTTCTACCTAAATTTTCTATCTTTTCTTTCCGATTTTAAATCGTTTGCTCGCGTAGTTCTTCGTACTAACTTCACCCCGCGTAATTATATTCGTTGTAATCGTAATTAATCGTAAATCGTTATTCGTTTGTCTCTCGTCGACGTACTCGTCCGTAATAATCCGTTTCTCGCCGCGACAAGTGCAGTGATCGACGATCTTACCGTTTCTTTGGTGTTCCAGATCATCGAGCGATTACACCAAAACTAGCAAGCGAATTACCTTGTATTTTATTGTACACCGTAACGGTAAGTCGTTTCAGTTACATTTTTCGATCACGACGTTTATTCAATTGGCAAAACGGGCGATCTGGTCCAGCCTTTCAAGGTTACGAGAATTCCTCAGGTCAGATCGTTCCACCGTACGAGGTATTGATATCATCCAATATTAAATACTATTTTCGGTTATTACAATTTCGCAATTCCAGTCTCTTTCCATCATCCGAAGGGCACCTTAGTCCAGCTCTTTCGAGAGTTACGAGAATTTCTCAGGCTGGGGTGCACCGCAGGCGGAAACCGCCAATCGTATAGTTAAATTCGGAGAGCGAAATTGTTATAATCATTTTTACGCGCCCGGTAATATACTCGTCGGTTTCAAATGTGATATCAGAGTGTTTTATATTCATATATATATATATATATACCTTGTTAACTAATCTTAAGCATCTTTACATTTGTTCACATTTTTGCAGAACTGGTAATTTTCAATTTAACCAAATTTCTAAATTATTGAACTCATAATTTTGGCAATTATCTGATTTTCATTCACGATTAAACCAGTTTCATTTAGTTAAACAGTTTCCTTTTATTTCGAACACACCCCACACGTTTCAGTTAAAACACGCCTACCAACATACCCAGATTCAAGGAGGGTCCCGTACGGGACCAAGCGCTGAACGAACCCAACGAAAGGCTAATAATTATAATCTTTTAATATCTTATCAATTTTGTCTTTCGTCTTTTAAATTGTCGAGAGCGTTAATACGCTCGAGACTGGTGGCAGCGATACCAACCATCGCGCTAAAATAGGGAAGCAGGAATTGGGGGTTGAATTCCAACCAATTAATTGAAATTTAACTACCTAAAATTCTCTCTTTCCTTTTTACGTTGCGCGCCGTCGCTCGCGCGCAACGTAACATTATTCTTAACCTATTCTATTTCGTATGTATCGCATGGCTGGCTTTTTTATCTTATGCTTTTTTGTTTTCAGGTGCAGTCAACGAGATATGCTTTGATTTAATTATTTATTATAATACTTTAGCACACAATTATAATTTTTTGTTTGTCATGAATAGTATTATTGCATATATATTTGATATCCAATTAATTGCAGTAAATAAATCGAGAAAAAATTACATACCACGAGCGGATTCGAACCCGAGCCTTCCGAGTATGTATCAGGTACATTGCCACTTCGCCAGTTCGCTTCTTGTTGAAACCTTTCACTAAATCTATATTTCTTAGTATAATGAAACTTCAAATACAAATATCTAAAAAACTATTGAGTATCTACGCCTATAATGGTATATATTTGTAAACAGGAGAACAAGATCTATAAGTGTACGAAGTTTCAACAAAATCTGAGACCCGAAGTGCTTGCCTTCTCCTTGTCAGTTTTCTGTTAGCTTCAATAATTATTTTGAATTAAATTTACTTTCTTTTTTGCACACTAAACGGTATCAATATTTCTTTCAATTTCCATTCAGTATCATTTCCTGTATTACTTTATACTTTAAATCCACGCACCCCAACACAAAGTTTCAAGGAGGGACCCGTATGGGACCCAGAACACTGACGAACCCAACGGAAATAAATACTATCTAAATTTCCGTCTTTTAATTTGTTCTGACCGTAGAGGACGTTTCTGCGTCATACGCGGTCAAAACTGGTGGCAGCGATACCTTTCTCATCGCCCAAAAATAAGAAGAATCAAATTCAATATCTCTCTATTTTATTATATATGTTTTTCTTCTTTTACGTTGCGCGCTCGCCACGCGCAACGTAACAAAGTCATAGATTTTGCAAGCTCGTCAACATACTCATTTCCTCGAACTCCCATGTGCGATGGAATCCAATATAGCTCGATAGAAGTATTATAAGGATTTTCACTTATAAAGTAGTTATATTTTCTTTTGATTTCAAAGATATAGGGGCTGGTTTTAATATTGCATTTGGTAGACTGTAGAGACTGAAGAGCGCTAAGAGAATCGGAAAAAATATGAAAGTTTCTATTTCGATTTTGCAGGCCGAAATCGAAAGCATCATTCAGTGCAATGCACTCGGCAGTGAACACAGTTAATGGCTTTTTTGGAATATAAGTTTAGTTTAGGGCAAGATCAAGCAGCCCCGACGGCAATAGAACCTGCAATTTTACTGCCATCCGTGTAGAGATCGAGAGCTTCGCCGCTCCCTACCAGCTCGCTCAGCATCTGATTTACATCTCCGATATCTCTTTCCTTTAATTTAAAAGCAAACTTCCTCAAACTAATGTTTACCTTTTACAGATCTCTGGAAGAAATATGGCCTTTTTTCTGTATTTCCTCATACAGAAATAAGTAATCGTTCAAATCTCTCCTGTTGTTCCGTAATATAAAAAATAAATCTTTATTTTTGTGTAAACCTTCCATTTATGTTACGTAAATAATATCTAAGTGGCAAAGAAAGAAGTCTTACACATTGAAACGTTACATATTTTAATATGTAAATCTTTAAGCGTGTCCATACTTACCAAATATAGTATCACAACACTCTTTAAATGTAACAAACTATATATATAGGGATGAATAGAAATAAATACTTATAAAATAAGAAACATAAATTATAATACATAAAACTTAAAAGAAAAAAAAATTTAATGCAGTAATTTTTTGAATAAAAATAATGCTTTAGAAGCTCGCTACGAATGCTCGTATGGTTTTAATGCACCTAAATGAACAAAAGTCGGCCGAAGAGGTCATTGTCGAAATGACTTCAAACAATAATAGTCTGAACAGCGGGACGAGGGGGGAATCGATTTTTGTATAATTATTTAGAGGAAAATATTGTCCGGAAAATATTCCAATTTGCTAAATTGCGGGATTTTTTGGGACTTAAAAGATATTTCTTGTCAAACACAAAACATTTGAAGAATACGTAATAGTTTATTCGCCCATATTTTTCTAGTACATTTTATATGGTAATTATTAATATGAGGAGAGAATTTTTATCACGAAAGAATGCCCTTTACTGCAAAAGAAGAATGAAATGAAAATATGTAGGATCGGAACCTCCATATCCAAAACAATAATAGGCGTTTTTTCTATGAAAAACACTATCCTTAAGGGCACAGACTCC